GCAGGCTGCAGGCGGGAATTGAACTCATGAGGAAGTGGCTTCAGATTCTCAGTGCTGTGCTTTAACCCGCTGCGCCACCAGGGAGGGCCAAAATCCTGTATCTTTTTTAAAAGGACAATCATTTATCAAGTTTATTCACTTCCAAAATATTTACACAAATAAGCAACATCATAAAAAAGATAAAGTAATTCTGGGTACAGAGAGTTAAAAGTAAAAGTTATACTATTAAGAAAGAAAAATCTCAATTTTCTCAAATTTGACACAAGAAGGTAAATAAATTCAATCCTGAATAATAATTGATGATATTGTTGTTCAAAATAATTCCCCCCAAAGAGCACTGAATTCATAAAATGTTAATAATAATTTCTATTATACCGCAAGGACTATATTAATTCCTGTGCTAAAGACAATACAAGCTTTTTTAACCCGTTTTCATAACGCAGTGGAAAAATCTGTCAAGAACTATATGCACAAATAGTGTACCAATTAAATTTATAAATATATACATGAAACTCCAAGCAACATATCAGTAAATTAACGTAGTACATCACGTCCAAAAAAAGGTCAGGCAAGAAAAGGGCACCATTATCAAGTCTACTTAAGAAAGTAGGACCTTACAGTTATCTCACTGAGAGTTAAAAAGGCTTTTGTTGAAAAACTGATACTGATAAAAACCGTTAAGATCTTATTATAAGTAATGAAGGGGTACCTCCTCCACATGGTCCACTGAAATGACCAGCCATTACAGAAAACTTAAATACTGCTATATTAGAGGTAGCTTCATTAAAGAGAGAACCAGGTAAGAGCAATTATACAATAAATATGGAGTTTTAGAAAGCTCTCACAAGTGATTATGACTAGGGGAAACTATGAGTTTTTCCTAAAATTAAGAAAATAAGAAATAAGAAAAGTAAATATTCAAAGCAGAAGACTGGATAAGTAAGTGAGGATATTATATTATGCAGTATATTGCAACTATTAATATGCCATTACTGTAAAAGGAAGACCTTGTATATCATGAGATATGCTATCGCTGTTTTATATATTTATAAGTGTATATAAATATATATGTATATTTTCCCTATAGAAATATTAAAAAACAAAAATATTAATTACTTTATCCCTGGGTAATGGGATTATTAGTTATCTATAATGTCAACATTTAGTGACTTAAGTCACTCATCTGTTTCTGTGGGTAAGGAATTTAGGACACAGCTTATTAGTGGTGGTTCTTCTGCAAGGTGTCTCATGAAGTTTCGTCCTGGTTTCAGTCAGGATGCTGGCTGGGGCTTCAGTCACAGGAGGTTTGAATGGGGCCAAGGGATCCTCTTACAGCAAGATTCACATAGCTGTCCGCAGGAGGATCCAGTTCCCTGCTATGTGGGGCTCTTCACAGACAGGGATGCTTCGTGACATGGCAGCTGGACTGTCCCAGAGCAAAAGTGATCAAGAAAGGACAAGATGATTATGGTATCTTTTAGGACCGACGCTAGGAAGCCACACTATTATTCCTGCTACATTCTATTCATTAGAAGCAAGTCACTAAGTCCAGTCCACACTCAAGGAGAGAATTAAGTCCACCATTTGAAGGAAAAAGGATCAAACAATTGGTGGGCATACTTTCAAGTCCCCACAATAGGTAGCTTGTGGCATACTCAGAAAAAGACATTTATTTTCTAAATAGAAAAAGTTAAACCCACAAATTCACATCCACATATACATATAAACAACTTTAAAAATTCTCAATAAGCATGATGGACCTACCAAAAAAGGGAACACAACTCTGAGTTGTAGTAACAGAAAAATGGCGCCCAGAACAAGTTCTAGTGACATTCTGTACCACTGAGGCTAAATCTAGTCTTATTCAACTGAATAACAGTTTTAGTAAATTCTAAGTGGAAAACTAACAAACTATAGAGTTTTTCACTTAGACAATAACTATCAAAATGAGGAATAGTCTGGAGGAAAATAGTGTTTGGCTTGAGATAGAGAAAACTTGAAGGGAAACGAGAGCAGGCAAATCACTGCTTTCAACATGAAGGGTCACCTTGTGGAAAAGTTAAGAGGCAGAACTTGAATCAAAGAGTCAGAGCCACAGGGATGCAAAGTGGCTATGCCAGAACTTTCTAACAATCAGAGCTGTTAAAAACCAGATGAGGGTCCTCCCTGGTGGCACAGTGGGTTGAAGCACAGCACTAGGAAGCTAAAGCCATTTCCGCATGGGTTCGATCCCCGCCTGCCCCGGAGGTGACCACATGGCAGGGCAGACCTGCCTGCCTGGGAGGTGACCACGTGGCATGGCAGACCTCTCCTCACCCTCCCGCTGCTCCCTTCAGCAGTATACTTCATCCATCTGCCTATTCTGCTCCTCACTCTGTCTCTGGTGAATCCTCTCACCGCCCCTGCACCTCTGGCCTGTACCCCAGTTC